TCTATGCCTGTTTTCGACTCCCCGAAGCATTTCGTCGCTTACTACGCCCAGAGACAAGGGAGAGAGACAAGGGAGAGAGACAAGGGAGAGAGAGAAGGATGATGATGATGATGATGATGATGTGAGGGCACATACCTGGTATTGGCGATGGTCTGCATGGGCGACATCTTCAAGTACTTTGGAGGCTGCTGACGTCAACAGTTGCATTGTCGATTAGTAGGCTAGTAGTAGCTGTGTAGGGAGTAGGCTAGGCGCCGAGCGCCAAGTAGGGAGATAGGGACTGGATACATATGTTGGTGGTGGCGAGTGCAAGCTCTCATTGACATTGGTTTTCAGTGCTACGATTCTCCATTGGTGTCATATTGGTGCAATGCTGCTTTCTGAACACTGTGATACGGTCTGGCTTTCAATGTGATTGTGCAATCTGAATATTGTCATCTCGCTCTTGCTCATTTTCCTTGCAATTTGGTATCGGAGCTGGTTGGAACTGCGCTCATTGGTTCTTCGCAATGCTTCACATGAGGTGTGGGGCAGTGATAAGGCTTGGACGTTGGACGTAAGGCGGCCCAGGGTCCTGTGGGCGCGCCAGGAAGCTATGTGGTGACATTAGGGGTGTACGCTGGATGATGAGAGGTCGCTGATGTGGCATTTAAGCCGAGGTGGAACCACATTTTGTTGTTGGTTGTGCCGAGGCAAAGACCGGTCATCATAAATGCACATCAGGTTGCCGGTGAGAAATCTGTGGTTGGGGGAAGCATTATGAGGTACGTTGTTTCCTTCCTTATCTACCCTCTTCATTGCTTCTTACCCTGAGGAAGTGAGTTCTGCCTTGAGAGTCCTCTCAATGTGAGGTGTCGCGAGCGCTCAACCTTGAGAGTCGACATTCTTCCTGGGCAGCAAGCTGGTGGGAGACGGGCGATGCCTCTGAAGGGCCCTGGACGAAGCACTCGGGTCACGGTCACCATGCCAACCCACTGGGACTAGTACACGCATGCTTTGCCGCAAGTCCTTGGTTCTGCTGCTGCGCAATAGAGGTCATGCAGGGCATGCCAGCCCTTTGAACAGACGCTTACCAGACTGTCTTTAGATATTTCTGGCGGGGACTCGGTGTTGATTCTGGTTGTGATTGTCGTCCTGTTTGCGACGTTAAATAATTCCCGAGAAGTTACGGGGGATCTCCTTAAATTCCTCCTGATCATCCAGATCAAACCGGGTGTAAGGCTCGTTGCATGCGAGGATAAATAATAAGCAGGGGCTGGCAGGTTCGACGCTGACTTGGGGCACAGGAGTGGGCCGGATTGCACACCTTTAGACACGCTGCTCAACCAGATGCTCAAGGCGTTGACACACAGTGATAACTCAAGAAGGATACAGGGAGAGAGGGGATTCCGACAACTGTTCATTGTGGCATTAATTAGATAAACAGCCATTCAGCATACATCTCAGCAGAGAGCATTATTTTTTTTTATATATAATTTAGTTGTTACGGACTTGCCTAACAACTGACAGACGACTGCAGATAGAGTAAAATATTCTTTGCTGCATTGCAATCTGTATTAGAGTAATCTAAAAATAGATTTAATATTCCCTATAGGATCTGACATTGGTTGACACCTAACCACCTAACTGTTTTTTGTCCAGGCCGATTGAAGTTAGTTGTGTATCATAATCGGTTGTGTGTCATGCTGAGGTAGGATTTAGTGTGGATTCTAGTTTAGATCACACAACCTAACCACCTAACTGTTTTTTGTTCATGCCGATCGAAGTTAGTTGTGTATCATAATCGGTTGTGTGTCATGCTGAGGTAGGATTCAGTGTGGATTCTAGTATACACTGTAGCTCATGAGTGATGCAAGCAGTAGTGAGGAGGAGTTGTTAGTGGACGACCGTAGGACCACTCGTAGAACAGCTCTCAGTCGGCCTTTGACTTTCCTAGAGTTAGGTCCAGGAGACGACTGCATAGCCACCGAAACAGGTTGCTGCATACTAACCTGAGCTGGACTTGACAGTGGGACTGTAATAACCACTGTCGTGGATGGTACGACATAAGTTCTAAGAACCGGACCACTAGTCGCCACATAACCACCTGGAGGGGGCATGCCAAACATAGGTGAGAATGAGGGCCCAGCCGGTGGCGGCGTCAATGATGGACCTGCAACCGATGGGGGAGCTACAGCATACTGAGGCTGCCTCATCATGGGACGAGGAGCCTGCAGTGCAGCCAAAATCTGCTTCTGTCCTGCCACTAGTTCAACCAGCACTTCCTGCAGGACAACCTGCGCTTCAGCCACACAAAGAAGCGAGTTACGCAATGCTCGCATTGCGGGGTCAAATGTTGACTCATCTAATGCTTCTAATTTGCCTAGCTCCTGTCTCCTACTCCCTAGTCTGTTTTTCTCAAAATAGCTCTTCTTCTTCTCTTTGCTGCCTCATCCAAGTGCCGCTGTAGCTCATCCTGAAGTTCTTCTGCTTGGAGGATCTCATAATCCTCCGACGTGAGATGAGCCTGTTGGCTGACTTGCAAGCCAACACTCTGGCTAATGGAAGTCTGAGAACCACTCTGACTGCCTCCTGACGAAGTGGCCTGTGAAGAGGCCTGCGACATGGTAGAGGAAGTAGCCATTGTCGTACCGGTACTAGCTGTAGTTCTAGACCTGGCATTGTCCTCAGCCACCCTCACTCTTGTTGTTGTTGCTCTCTATACCAGGCCGGAGCAAGAAGTTGTAGTGGTTGCCTCCTTTTTAGAAAGGTCAGCAGCCCGTTGGTTGAATGGCCTAGTGCAGCAACAGGGCTACGGTCAGAACTTCGATGCCTGGGCCCAGGCCCAGACATTGGAGGAATTCGTACGGTCCGTGTATAACAGGTGGCATGACCCTCAAGGGGCTCAAAAGGCCACAGACGCAATCAACAGTCTTTGTACCAGAAGGTACAAGAATGTTCGAGAGCTCACGGATATCGTAGAACGTCTGCTCGTGGTACCTGGTGTGCGCTATGACCAGCAGGTTCTCCTCACCGATTACCTAAGATGCCTGCCTTCAGAGGTTAGGACAAAGCTGGTAGATGAGGCCTATGTCGAACAGCACAACTTCGCTTCCTTCAGCAAAAAGGCCTTAGATATAAAGGCAAAACTGGGATCCGCGCATCAGAGTCAGGGAGATGGTAGGAAAACGAGACTTCCCCGGGAGTGGAAGAAGAAAGAGCAACTAATATTCGTCAACCACGATGGTCAGACGATAGAAATTGACGACTTCCTAGACCTTGGGGAGGAGACAGAGCACAATGGGGCCAGTGAGACTTCGGATGGGGAAGTCGTGGCGCCCATCAAAGACAAGGCTAGGGGGACCGGGAAAAAGAAGGTAGTACGGTCCACGGGTCAGGGCGACCAAGGTACGCCCACCTAGGTGAAACTCAGTTTAGAGTATGAGGTGTGGAGGGAGCGAGTTGCTAGGGGTATGTGCATGAACTGTGGCAACTATGGCCAGACGCCTAGAACATGCCGAGGTAAGAAGGTCCTACCGAGGGTAGCCTCATCAACGGTGGTGGGACTATCATCGAACCCTGGCAGTGCTTCTGCAAGCACTTCGTAGGGAAACACCTCGGGCCAGTAGGAGTTTTAGCCACTCTTACTCGCATTGAAGTGGTAACGTTGCCTTCCCCACTTCAGGCGTTGGCCAGGGCTAGTGACCCACGTGTCACCCCGCAGACACATTCAGACCCACCGACGCTATGTTCCAGAGATGTGTCTGAGGCCCTAGAAGAGTTAGAGACTTAGTGGTCAGGGAAAGACCCCAGAGCCTCTTGGGCGATGATTAGTAGAGGTCCAAAAGGTGAACACTTCGTGGTAGAGGTTGATGTAGGTGGCCACAAGGTGGGCGCCTTCGCAAACATAGGCTCTACACGAAACTTCATTAGTTGTGCTTGTGTGGATAGACTGCGCTTAGGGGACCGAGTGCAACGGCTTAGCAGAACTGTAGCTTCTGCGTTAGTCAACAAGCACCAAATGGTAGTTAAAGACTATGTCAAGGACGTAGTATGTTCCTTCTCTTATGGAGGAAGGGAAGTGAGACACAAAATCTCATTCTCGTTAGCGACGAACTGCCCTTCGACATGTTACTAGGCATGTACTACCTCGAGGTCGCTCAGCCTCAGTTTGATTGGGATAGGAAGGTGTTGATACACAAGCTGCCAAACGGTAGGACCGTTAGACTGCAAAAGTATAAAGCTAGCAGTCTAGTGGAAAACTACGGCTGCATGTGTGCCTCCTCTTTCTATAATTATTATAAGCAAAATCGCGAGGAGGACATGTATCTAGTCTTTGTCTCTGAGAAAGGGGAGGTTGTTAAAACACCCCCAGAGATAGAATCAGTCGTCGCGCAATATTCCGACCTTTTTTAGGAGCCCACAAGCGTGGTAGAAAGGGAGGTGGTCCATGCAATAGAGAGGTTGTCCCAGGTAGCAAGGTGCCTAAGGGACGAATCTATAGGACGTCTCCTGCGGAGCTGGATGAGCTTCGCCGCAAGCTCGAGTTCACAGAAAAGGAATGGATTCGGCCTAGTACCTCCCCTTACCGTGCGCCAGTCTTATTTGTTCCTAAGATGGGAGGTACACTAAGGATGTGCATTGACTATAGGGGCCACAATGCCATCACTGTTGAAAACGCAGAGCCCCTACCCAGCATTGACGACCTACTGGATAGAGTGCAGGGATGTCAGTACTTTACTAAGATAGATTTAAAGTCCGGATACCATCAAATTGCCATTAGACCAGAGGATCAACACAAAACCGCTTTTCAGACCAGGTACGGTCTGTACGAGTTTGTGGTGATGCCCTTTGGCCTATGCAATGCCCCTGGGACATTCCAGCACGCCATGAATAGGATATTTCATGAATACTTAGACAAGTTTATTGTCGTGTACCTCGACGATATTCTTATCTTTAGTAGGACTGTAGAGGAGCACGCTGAGCACTTGAAAATAGTGCTAGGTCTCCTAAGACAGCACCAGTACAAGGTCAACTTGGAGAAATGCGAGCTCGGTCGCACCAAGATCTTGTACTTGGGTTATGAAATCTCAGCGGATGGATTGAGGCCGGATGATGCTAAGGTGGCCAGCATACATGACTGGCCCAAACCTCAGACTATTACTGAGGTCAGATCGTTTTTGGGGATGACGGGCTACTATCGCCCGTTTGTTAAGAACTATATTACTATAGCTTCCCTATTAAACCACCAGTACCTCTCCCTGCTTGAAGAATTCGATGCGCCCGTTAACATGCCGCGTCGCGCGGGGTACCCACCGGCGTGCAACCAGTAGTCCCCAAAAAACGCCCGGGGGAAGGGGGGGAAGAACGAGAGAGAGAGAGAGAAGAGAATGTCTCTCTCTCTCTCTCTCTCTCTCTCTCTCTCTCTCTCTCTCTCTCTCTCTCTCTCTCTCTCCACGTAGAAACGAGAATGAATCTTCCGCGATAACGATAACGCGGAAGATTCATTCTCGTTTCTACGTGGAGAGAGAGAGAGAGAGGACGTCAGCCAGTGTCTGACGCCGAGTTTGGTGCACCAAACTCGGCGTCAGACACTGGCTGAAGCCCTCTCTCTCTCTCTCTCTCTCTCTCTCTCTCTCTCTCTCCTTATCGAAACGAGAATGAATCTTTCGCGATAACGCGAAAGATTCATTCTCGTTTCGATAAGGAGAGAGAGAGAGAGAGAGAGAGAGAGAGAGAGAGAGAGAGACGTTGAAGTGAGAATGAATATTCCGCGTTATCGCGGAAGATTCATTCTCATTTCAACGTACATAGAGAGAGAGAGAGGGCGTCAGCCAGTGTCTGACGTCGAGTTTTGTGCACCAAACTCGGCGTCAGACACTGGCTGACGTCCTCTCTCTCTCTTTCTCTCATGAATCTTCCTCTTTATCGAGGAAGATTCATTCTCGTTGGAAAGGTCTGATTTCATTTTGTTTTTTTTGTTTTTTTTTGCAGAATGTTTTTTTTTTTTTTTTCCCCATTGTGTTCTACCGGTTGTCCGAGGCTCGGGAATGACCGGGCTACCGGTAGCCTGAGCCACGGGCCTTAACAACCGGTAGGTACTGGTGGTTTAACAGATCTAACTCGACTTGACACCCCTTGGGAGTGGACTGAAGAGTGTGAGGCGGCCTTCAAGAAACTGAACTATGCTCTGACCCACTATGAAGTCCTCAAACTTCCTGATCCTGATAAACCCTTCGTTGTGACCACAAACGCCAACCAATATGGCATAGGCGCGGTCCTTGCGCAAAAGGAGGGGCCAAAGTTAAGACCAATCGAGTATATGAGTAAAAAGATGACATCTCAAAAGCGTGCAAAGTCCACATATGAGCGTGAGCTCTATGCCCTATATAGAGCGCTGGTTCATTGGAGACAGTATCTCCTAGGTAGATTCTTCTACGTGAGATCTGACCATGAGACCTTGCGTTGGATCAAGACACAGCATGTGCTCTCTGATGCACTCACGCGATGGATACAAGTGATAGACATGTATGACTATCAACTTGACCCAATCAAGGGAGAGTACAACAAAGTGGCTAATGAATTATCTCGTCGGGCGGATTATCTGGCCGCGTTAGTTATTGAATTTGGCATATCTAACGATCTAACTCGATCATTGGTGGAAGTCAATCAGCAAGATCCAGTTATGTCTGAGATCATTCGTAAATTCCAAGCAAAGGACAAAGTGACTTTGGATTAATTTACGATGGTAGACGGCTTGCTATTTCTTGAAAAGGCAGGGAATAAAAGACTGTGTGTTCCTAATAGTGAGTCTTTGCGTACTTTATTTCTAGGGGAATGTCACGATGCAACTGATCATTTCGGTTATAGGAAAACCTCAGCTAACCTAGTGCAAAAATTCTGGTGGCCTTCTATGATGGAAGATGCCAAGAAGTATGTTGAAACCTGTCAGGTCTGTCAACGTAACAAACCTAAGACTCGGGCACCGCTCGGGCTCATCAAGCCCTTGCCGATTCCTGAAGGTCCTGGTCAAAGTGTCTCCATGGACTTCATGGATACTCTTGTGACCAGCAGGTCTGGGAAAAGACACATCTTCGTTATAGTATACCGCTTTTCTAAGCATGCAAGACTGATCGTTATGCCGGAGACTGCGAAAACTGACTATGGCATCAAACTTTTCATGGACAACTGGGTACGAGACTTTGGTTTACCTAAGTCTATCGTCAGTGACCAGGATGTACGCTTCACAAGCGAACTATGGCAAAGCACAGCCCAACAGATGGGCACCAAACTGCAG